TCACTCTCTCTATAGGTGAAAACCGCATTAAAATCTTTTGCGTAGTTTGAAAGATCTAAACGTACAAGAAAAAAAGTGACTTCATCTTATACTATGTAAAGATAGAAAACCATGTTTATTATCTGACTGTACAAAATAACATTTTTGGGTGTTGTCGAATTATTAGTGAAAAAAAATATTAAAATTAAAAGTGTTGATTCGGACAAGTACCTAAAAAATATTTGTTTTCGAAACGTCAGTAAGCTAATATGTGCAAACAAGTCAATTTCACCGTTAAGGAATATCAATTTTCTAAAAAAAAATATGATTGAGAGTAGATAGGTAACGAAATTAATTTAGAATGACCATCAATAATTAGATAAAATGAAATGGATTTGTTTTTACGAAACAAAAAATACCTTTTTATATAAGTTATTCATGTACACCCTACAAAAAAATATGTTAGGAAATTAAAGAATAGGTAATAACTTCGTAGATACTGTACTTTTTTATGACAGGATTATACGAACATTTAGTATAAATTTATACTAAATATTGATGTAGTGTGTTCCAAATTTTCTCACAAGTAGATCCTCCTATAAGTATATTTAAGTCAAATCTATTTACCGAAGCATCTTAACTGCTTAATTCAATCATTTTTAATTACTTATTTTTACACTACAAATTTAACATACTTACTACTAAATGATGAAGAAATTGCGCATCAATTGAAAAACTGCTTCTTTGAAAAATGATAGTCGTATGTATACCACATATACAATGTATGGTAACTTTTTTAATTTTAACATTACCGCGCTCAGATTTTGTCTACTAACTAATGTCAAATACTACAAAATCATATTAAATTATCATAAATATACATCCGCTATGTTCCTAGTTCTGAGGTGGCTCCTCAATCCAAACATTTAGATTGAGGAGCCATCTTTATGTTCATATAACTTTAAAAGTATTATACTACAATCCAAACGGACATTAAAGGAGTGGTTCAAGGATTTTTGTAAAAAGGTAAACTTAGATCATGGGTTTACCGTACCACCTGTAAGTTAATAATAATATTCTACCTTCTATTCTACATTCTCGCAACGCCGTCTAGTCCCAAACTAAACAAAGCTTGTACTATGTGTGTGCTAAACAACTGATATAAATACTTTTATACTTTTTTTTGTAAATACGTACATATTATACATAGAAACACCCAACACGCCAAATCAAACATTGAATGTCCATGCACACAAATGTTTGACTTGAGCGGGAATCCGACCCGCGACCATTGGAATAGCCATATTAAATCCATGATCTGGCTGCAAAGGCATTTTTGTGTAGTGCATGAGTAAAAGATTTTTGGAAAGTGCTCCTAGAATAGAGGGGGAAACTTAGTCGAAGAGAGTTCAGCAAGCATTAGTATAGTGATCGTTAACCCAACAAAGGTTCCCCTGCGCTACACCGCTAAGGACCTTAGTGACAAACAATACAAAAAATACTTATTAAAAAAAATGTTCCGATGAACTATAAATGTCTTATGACTTAAAAATTTTTAACATGCAAATAGTTTCAATTTTCATTTCTTAGGTGAAAGGAAACGTAAATAATGACTGACAGCACTGACAGACGTCTCACGTCAGGCAGGACGTTAAACAATCTTTCAAAGTTTTTTCTGAATTTTCTGTTCTGGTTTCGTAGTGTTCTGAATAATTTTGATAAACTATTTTATGCTCTTTTAAACTGACCCTGCTTTTCCCTTGGACGCTGTAAATAAATAATGGACCCTATGCTGTGAATACTGGACTTTGCTTGCTTTGGCGATTTAAATTCATAGACACTAAAAATGCCCAGAAAGTCAGCAATGAAGTGCTATTTTGGATGTCTTTTGTCTAAAGGTAAAGCTTAGCCGGTTCATATAATTCATACATCGTAGTCACTGGACCAAGCATTTTAATGACCAAGATAACAGCTCCAACTGTGTACCTACTGTCTTTCAGTTAAAGTCCATCGCTTCCCACCTGCAGAATATCCATATTTGGAAAAATTTGATCAGTGGACAGCGGTATTGAGTGAAGCAGACAAAAAGAAAGGTGACAAATACATACGTAATAATATACGTTTTTGTGATCACCATTTTGCAGACTTCTACAAAACAGCTACTGGTCGTCTTACTAAAAATGCTGTTCCAACATTGTATACAGGTAAGTATCTTGTATATGAAAAAATACTGCTTGGTGGTGGTAGCGTTTGTGACTGCTGTTCTGAGGTCTCGGGTTCAATAACCGGGTCGGACCAAATGTTTGTATGATGTGCAAATATTTGTTTTGGAGTTTGGGTGTCGTCTATGTATAGTATCTATACTTAGTATACTGTTTTTTTTTGTAAATACATTACAAAAAAAAATATACAAATATTGTATCAGTCAATCTAGTTATCATAGTACAAGCTCTGCTTAGTTTAAAAATAGATGGAGTATTGTCTGATATTCCACATATTATTATTAATAACAACAATTTTTATTATATTTAACATATCAATTAAAATTATGAAAAGCTGTGTAATATTAAAAAATTAAAAAAGCTTAAGTGGCAGTTTATTATCCCGTAGTGTCTGTAGAGTACATGGTATATTATAGTATATTTATATGGTATATTATAGTTTATTAGTATATTATAGTATATTCTAATTACAAATGCAATTATACTCAAATTAGTACTGTCATTAATGCAATCTGTTTACCTTGTTAATACAAATTACAATTAAATATTTTTAAAAAGTCACATGAAGACTGTTAAATAGGTAAAGATTTAAGGGTAGTTGTCATAACGACCTACTCCCATAATAAAAATAACACCCCTTAGAGCCTGCAGTATCCGTTATGACAATGCCCAAAATTAATACAACAAAAAAAACGTACCCAATGACTTTGGCTCTGTCCGTTTGAAACTAGGGTATAATTAACTCTTATAAACCGCACTCATGCTCCCACGTGGACAACCATGTGGGAGTGCGGTTTATAAGAGTTAATTATACACTACAAAGTGGCGGGGTAAGTATTCCAAGCGTCCTGGCTCAGGTCCCAGGCAGGTCCTGATAATGGGCTACAGCCAAAGGGCTTTTCCTGCCATTAGCGGTACTTAAGAAGGGAAATCCACACTCCGGAGCAAACTAAATCCTTGGATCGGGCAGGTAGTGAGGTAAAAACCAATTGTAACGTAAGGACATTACAATCTGCTAAGAAGGAAACCCAAACTAATAATAATAAAAAAAAACCCTGTTTGACACTGAACATCGAAAATTATAGGTTAATTGCCATCTCCAAAGATGAACGTGAACGTGACGCCGTCTATCGGAGCTTACTAAAACGTCAGAAACTACAACTAAAAACACGTCGATAATTAAATTTTCTGCAATGGTGCGAAATGCACCGTTACAGAAAATTTGATAGAAATTTTTTTGTATTTCTTATATCTATATTTGTTCTTTTATGTTTTAGTTTTAGTTTCAAAGTGCTCCGTTCCATGGCTCTTTGGGTTGTTACAATCTTGTTTTCTGTAAACTTGTTGAAAATCCATCTTTGCTATGCATAAGTGAGCGACGGTAGAACACAAGAGTCTAGGACTTTTTTCTTCAGTCTCATTGGAAGATTTGACTTGAGGACTTCTTTTAGGCTCCAAAACCTATTCCAGGCCATGTTTACTCGTCTATTTAATTCATCTCGGTGCCTAGATCTTTTGAATGACGTTTGTTTGCCGAGATATAACCGTTGGAACCGTTTTACTATTTGTCATAATTTTTGTTTTGCTTGTGTTCAATTGTAGACCAATTTCAAGGCTGACACTGTGTATTTCCCCTATCATAATTTCTAGTTCTGATGCAGTTTTCGCAAAGAGAACCATATCATCAGCAAACCTGAGATTACTCAAATATTTGCCATTTATGAGTATACCCTTATTGACCCATTTCAGACTCTTCATAATGTTTTGGAGCACGGTTATAAAAATTCTGGGCGACAGCGGGTCACCCTGCCGAACGCCTCTACATATATCTATTTCAGACCCTGATTTTTCTAGTTTAACTTTGCTTTTACTTTTCTTATATATATCTTGAATAAGTTCAATAGTTTCTGAGGGTATGTCACACTCTTGTAAAGCTCTCCAAATACTATCGTGCGAGATGGAGTCAAATGCTTTGGCATAATCTATAAATGCCAGGTAGCCTGTAATTGCCTATATCAGTGGGGTTTCCCTTCTTGTATAGCATCATCAGCATCATCAGGAATAGTTTTATCGTCAAGTGTCTTATTGAATAATTTGGTCAAAAGTGGTACCAGTACATGTTCACCTAATTTAATTGCTTCGTTTGGTATGCCATCTGGCCCGCCACTTTTGCCATTCTTCAAGGATTTTATTTTTGTAGAGATTTCCTGACATGTGGTGATATTCTCCTTTTGAAATTGGGTCTTACTATGTGACTGCATCTTGAATGAGTACAGATCTTTATAAAACTCAGTTGCTGTTTTTATTATTTCTGACCTGGAGTAGGTTTTTTACTATTCGTAGAGTTCTGCAGTAAACAAGGGATCCATTTTTTAGTTGCTCTCAATTCTTTTTGGCCTTTTTTCATGCTTCCCGACACGTCTAAATGTCTTTCAATAGTTGCTATTCTAAAGTCTTGATATTCTTTCTTGATAATTTTATGAATATTTTTGTACAAATAGGTTTTCTCTTTCTTTTCTTCAATTGTTAGTTGTTTTTTATTGGTTAACTCGTTTCTTCTATTTATGAGCAATTTGGTCTTGTCCGAAATAATAGATGGTCTTTTTTGCTTTTTATGTTTCTTCAATATCGATTTTAAACTCTCCTCGATCACTTTTTTTATTTTTCCATAACACAACTCTACGTCATCTATGTCCTCTAGTTGTATGTAGGAACACTGTATTTTTAGTGCTTCTCTAAAGTGTCGGTGCTGGTCAGCGGTTGTCAGGGCACAGTTTTTGTTTTTATATTTGACTCTAGATGTTCTATTTATTGGTCGCTCGGGAAGGTAAATTTGTGTAAAACTTCAAAGTTCGTGAATTTCTCTTTTATATTTGATAAGATGTAGTCTATCTGGCTTTTATCGTTCTTAGGAGAGAGCCATGTCCATAAGTTCTTTTTATTTTTGTGAAATAAGCTATTGATTACAAACAAATAATTCTCTCAACAGAATTGTAGTAAAGTAGCGACTCTCATCCTTTTTCCGAAGCATGAGCTTCCAAGTACTCTATCCTCGCCTTTTGATTTACAGCCAACTCTGCATTGAAATCGCCTATAATAATAAGATTTTTACTACAAATTGTAAGGCATTCTTGTAATTGGCTATAGAAATCCTGTATTACTTGTTCCTTTGCAGCGGTGGTGGGAGCATAAACTTGTATAAGAGATAAGCTTGTTGACTCAAAGTTCATGTGTAAGATACAGATCCTTTCAGATACTGCACTAAAGCTTTCTATATATTCTTTGAGGTGTTTTCTTATAAGGAAACCTACACCGTATTGACCCTTAGTCTTGCCAAAGTAACAGAATATGTGGTCTTCATCTTCCTGTATGTTATACCCGGTGCGCCTGATCTCCGCAAGAATAATATCATATTTAATCGTTGATATTGCTTGCTTAAATTCCAGTAGCCTTTCGTGTGATGATAAGGATCGAGCGTTGTATGTGCATATGTATAGTGGGAGGACTGGAGGGTTGCAGTCTGTGACCCTGGCGGTGACCGGCCGTATTGGGGGACGTAGGGAGGCGGCTGTCTCGTGTCATATGTTGGATGTTGAAGGATCTTTTATGTTGGTGTATCATTTTTTGTTAGATATTCATCCATCTTATTTTTTTTAATGGGTTTTTTTGCTACCTTTAGCTGACCATTATTGACTTTTAGTGTTTCAGGTGATTGAGATAAAACTCTCTTTTGTCGGCCCTGGTGTTCTAAATGTTGTTCGAGATTTTCTTTGTCTGGTAAAATAACCAATTTATTATATTTTATGTAACCTTTCTTTCCCTGGTCTTTTTCTCTTTGTAGTTGTACACTTAGGTGCTTTCTTTGCTCTAGAACTTCAGGCGGATAATCCTGTTTGATGTAATAAGAGGTGGTATCTTGCAATGATATATAAACAATCTTGTAGCATTTTTTTGTTTTTGAGTATTTCAATTTTTTTTCCCATAGTAGTAAGGGTGACAATAATTGGTCTAATTTTTACAGACCTTTGTCCCATTCTTGTTACATATTCTATGTCTCCTTTTTGACAGTCTACTTTCATGTCGTTTTGTATTATATTTAGAATTTTGTTTTGTAAACTGAAATAGGCGTTCTCAGTCTCTTCAACACCGAAAAATATCAAATTCTTGCTTCTTATAATGTTTTCAAATATCTGAATTTTTTTAACTTGATCTTCGGTCATTATTTCCAGTTGTTGTTGTCTGAAGTCTAGCATAAGGAATTTCTCATCTATATTCTTATTTATGCTCTTTGGGATATGTTCTTTTATTTCTTTCAGTGAGGTGTGTAAGGTGCCATATACCGGTAACTTTTATTTATGACTGAAACTGACTGATTTATTGCTTAACGTACTTATTTTTAATTATTTATTAAAAACAATGGACTTAAATTAATGCAATTATTTAAATATATTTAAATCCAATATTGTCATGTGAGTGATTTTTTTGTTTTGTCTTTGTGTAATTTATACATAGTATGTATGTTTTTAGTAAAATGTTAGTATATCTTTATTTTAGGTATATTGGAAGAAACATCACCAAAAAGTCCATCAGCTCCATCACAGATAGAAGTTCGTAGTACAGAAGACATTGACAGATCCCACTTAGGTAAGAATTTTAACCAAAAGGAAAGACACATTATATTTTCATCATCATCAACAGACTTTATGGTCCACTGCAGGACACTTATGTCCTTAAAATCCTGTACCAGCCTCAAACCTTATAAAAAGGCTGGTATAGGACTTTTTTCAAATTTTGCTTTTCTTTGCAGTGCTGTTGCCTTGTAGAGTTTGCTCCCTTAGTCGGCTCTGACGACACCAACAGAATTAATAGGGGTGGTGACACTCCATATTCTTAACTCGCCACCACACGGACAAACCTAAATTATTACGTCAGCATTACCAAATAACTCTACACAATAAAAGTACCACCCCTCAGGGAAGATAAAGAATATAGTTTAATATGGTTCCTCAAGATGTTAGCCGCATTGAAGTTTTTTTTTTTACAGACACACATGCAATAATTGAAACGTCCACAGGGTGTGCTACAGAATCAGATTTCGATATTGGAAATGTCAGATGCAAAACATTTACTGAGACTGTCAGCGAAGATAATAAGCATAAATTGACAGTGCTCATGCACAACGAAACAGATGGCACACCAGCTGAAAACCCTCAACCTAGAAAGCAAGGTAAATATTTCCAAATCAATGAATTATCCTATTGTAGTCCGCTGTTAAACAAATAGGTTTCTGTGATGCTTTGAGAAGAATTAATAATGAAGTGATCATATTTTTTTTTTTAGTACTTCAATTGCGTTTAATAGATGATGATGGTTTTTGTGATGAACCAATATATGAAGTTCTGACGGATGATGAAACTGAAAAGGCAGTGGACAAGAAACAAACAGCGACACAGACTGCTGGTGAGTTTTGAGAATAAGTCATTAAATTGATATTGGAGGACTTGGTTCATTCTAATAAATAAATGCAATATTTTTGAAAAGACACTAAGAACTAGCATTATAATTTATAAAATGAAATTTTCAATTATTTCAATTCTGAGAAAATATCGTTTTTATCTTAGCATATTATTTTTCTTTTGTTTTTAACATATCTATGTATGTGCATAATTATTTATGTGTGTGTTGTATGTATGTATGTATCATAATAACTCTCATATGAATACATGATTCATATGAGTGTTTGTATGTGTATGTGCTGATACATGTATGTACTATCTATGTGTGTATTATTTATGTGTTATGGATAACCCTGCTTAAGCTTACACTTCCCTCTATTTAAATCGACAGTTCTCCTTATACCTACCTATATGTAGAGAGTACCTATATGGAGAGACTTGTATAAAGATTATTTAATTGTCATAAAACAACATTGTTATATGACTGTTTGTCTTTCAAAGAGTAATAATAAATATTTTCAGGCCGAATACAAATAAAACTTTTGCACCAATGGAAAAAAATAAAAGAAAATGACAAGTTTGACAATTGTCTCTGACGCGTCACATGTGACAGATCGATGACGGTTATCTTTATGCACTTGTTGACAGTTGTTTTGTTTTTATGTTGACATTTTTGTGATTACTTTGAGTATGCTATGAAGAATTGTGCAATTCCTATAGATAAATGAATGAGAAATAAAGGCGACAAGTTGCTTGCTATTGATTTATTTTATGTATAAACAATAGTATATTTAGTATAGCCATTCTCCACTAAAAATATCTACTAACTTAAAATAACTTTTAGTTTTTTTTTCTGAAATGCGGGATTTAAAAATTGTTTTTTAACTAATTTCCAATTCCTAATTTTAGCTGCCATATATAAGTGTAATAGATCCATATTGGCTTTTACTCGAAATAAAAAACTAACTCCTTGAGAGTGCAAATGCAACGTTGCCTGCCAATTATACACAAATTTTCATTTTTTTATCACCTCTCCTGTGACAGTGCCGAAAATTAACATTGGGCTGTTAAGTTATACATATTGACTGCACACACTTAATTCGACCCCCACATGGGACAACACTTTGTGTGATCCACAAATTGTTGTTCTCAGTCTGGGTGTTCTTAGTGACCGTTTCATGCATGTTTGTAAAACCTCCCACGACACAGGATATATTCCTCATGGCTGTTGTCCTTAAAAAGAAACCATACAAAAATATTTTCTTTTGTTACGAGGAAGGGTTCCACGCCTTGAACCTCCCCCTCAAAATGAGGAGGAATTGCTCACCACCAGTTTTCTGCGAGTCAGGCAGATGCATGGCTCTCCCACAGTTTGGCTAGTTCAACAAAACCTCCCGACATCTTTCCAATGTAGGTTCCAGGCAATTCCAGTCAGTTCAGAGTTAATTAGTCTTAACTTTCTTATTTTTATTATTTTAGCACAAAATTTACCTGCAAAGGATGTTCAATATGCTCCACCAGTTATAGCAGCCGAGGAACAGAAAACAGAACAGGAAACAGAATCAACATGTAGAAAGGTTAAAAATAAGGAATACTGGAAGTTAAAGCTGAAGCATATCCTCCACAACACGCAGTTCTGTGGAATCTGTTTCGAGGCTGACGTCGACATGAACGCACTCACCGATGAGTTTGAGATCACTGATGATGAAAGGACTTATAGGAGATCTCTAAGAGATATTGTAGATAAGCTTTTTAGAGAGGTGAGTGAATTAAAAATTCTATGTAAATTCTAACTTTCAACAAATACAAGTTAAAATGTTAAACTTGTTTTGTAAATACTCTGGATGTAAATCCTTAACAGTTTTTAAGTACTGATTGCAACAAGTGTTATGGACTCCATACTAATGTGGAATATCGAGGTTATCAAAAGGGTAACAATCATCTGTTAATACCACACTTACATAATGTTGTGAATATTTTATGTTACTTCAAAATAGAAATATTGACACATAACATTTAGTTTAGAGGTTAAAAAATATTTCATATTATATGTTGTTATAGAAAGACCTTTTGTTTTTTTTTTTCAGTGTGGATATTGCCCAGCTAACTCACAAATATGCAACAATTGTACAAAGAAACTAATTCAGTCCTATATATTTATACACAATGCTGAAGAGACATCGAAAATGCTGGATCGTCATTTGGATGAACTGTATACTAAAACTTGCTATGTACGAAACAATTCTCTGAAAGATGCCAACAATGCACATTCAAGGATATACAACGTTGTTATTGCATTAGACAATAAAGAGATTGCCGAGACCTTTGAAAGTAGTCAAATTAAAATTGAAAAGCCAGAGTCACACCAAAATGAAAAAGACCAGATTCGTGACAAAAGAAAACTGAGGTGTGTGAGTTGTAATATGATTCTACCCTCATACAGAGCTTGGAAGATACACGAGAGAACAGATCATAAACAGAGTCACAGATGTAGAATATGTCTCCAGAGCTACAAAACACGACGCGCCTTGACTACACATTATAAGACGCATTTGAAATCGCGCTGTGCGTTGTGTCACAGAACTGTGCAGGATGGTGAACTGTTGCAACATTTGAAAACGCGCCACAAACACTCGATACACTTATGTACGACATGTAATGTCGCATTTTACTCCGCCAAGGCTCTAGGAAGACATATAAAGGAATGTCATCGTGGAGAGGATTCTAAATGTGTGACGTGTCTGCAGAGTTTGACGCAAGTAGAGTTGGAGCGGCACCAGTGCAGGTTCAAGTGTCCGGAGTGTGAGGAGGCGCCTTGTATCCATCACCGGCATCTGATGTGGTACAGAGAGCAGATGGCGAACCTCGCCCCCAGAGCCAAGTGTGCGGAGTGTCGCTACGTGTGTACAAGTAAGGACGCGCTCGTCGCGCACGTCAACAGACAACATTTGAGTCTCCAGCCTCACCGCTGTGCCAGCTGCGGACACGAGTTCTATTGTGAGTCTCATTTAAATAAACATATTTGTACACCTGAGAAAAACAACGAAGACCTCCACATTTGTCAATATTGTGATAAAGCATTTAGCAGTTTGTATATTTGTAAACGACATGAAAAAGGGTGTGAAGGCGTGCAAAGGAAGTATCAGTGCGATGATTGTCCAGCTAATTTTGATTCCTCAAAAGATCACATGAAACATAGAAAACTTAAGCACGGTAAAGAGGTCTTGTCGTGCAGTTTGTGTGACAGAGTATTTTTAAACGACCTGAAGAGGACAAGACATGAGCGGCAAGCCCACGGCAAACAGCTAGGAAGGGCACGCTTTGTTTGTGTGGTTTGTCAAATTGAGTTCTCGTCGAAGGCGGCCTTGGAACTACACATGAGATACCATGAACCTGAAGCAAAGTTTTAGCTTGAAACTTTGGGACAGTTCAAGAGTCATAAACACAGACACAGACGTGCGTTGACGGTGTGCGAAGTTTGTGGCGTAGTTATAAGTAGGATTCTGTTCAAAAAACACATGATTGCCCATTCTATGGCGACAGTGTCGTGTAAAACGTGCGGCAAATCCTTCCAGAACTTGACTCTACTGAGATATCATCAGAGTGTGCACGTGAAGAGCGTGCCGTGTCCTAGATGTAAGAAATTGATAAGTTCTGCAAAATTATGGAGACACTTCAGGAATCACCTCATTCGAGACTCTCTAGATTTCAAAGTTACTGCAATACATGGTCTATGACATTGAATCCTGCTGTTTTTTTTTTAATTTTAAATGATGTTATCCTCTATAGTACAGCTAATGTGCACAATCATAGATTATGCCGCAGACTGTATATCATCAGTTTTCTTCCCTTTTCACACTTTTATTTTGAACCAGCGCAACATGTAACATTGTAAAAGGTTTTGGCTGATTCTTTATAATGCCGGCTGTCTGCCTGACGCTAACTCTCCTTCGGGATGGTTTTAAGGAGAATGGAAGAAGGCAATTGGGGTAGAAATATCTCTATTACTTGGATAATTGGCACTCTGTCACTGTGTGCATCTTAAGATTTTTTTGCCTCGTACAAACAACTTGTAGTCGAAATAGTTGTTCCTCTTTTGCCGGACTGGTACGACCTTCAAACCTTCACGAAAATTATATTTTTGGGGAAATTTTTTCAATATTGGTCATTATGATTTAATTTTAAAAGATTGTGAACATTTTAGATACATTATTCCTTTTAAACATTAAGAGATTTTTTTTGAAATAAAGTTATATAAATTAAAAATCTAAGCAATAAAAAAAACTAATTTAATAGTAATTTCTGAAATGGCTTAATCAATTTTGCAGTCAAAAACTTTTGTAAACCCTTTTGTAGAACTAAAATAAAAGTAATACTGAAGTAGTTATGACTTGAATGTATTTTATATCTATCTACTAATAGACATTCAATGCAGTTATAAATAAATAATAAATTAAAGCAATATCATCATCAACAGCATTTACTCGTAATAGTCCACTGCTGGACATAAACCTCTTAAAAAGTATGAGAATGTTAGGAAGTAAATTAATTTAAAAACTAGCAACACTAAATTCCCTTGATTAGGTATAAGTAGCGGCACGAAACTCTAGCGGTGACAGTTACTGCGCAGAAGTCAAAAATCAGGTATCTTGTGGGGTAAGAGGGACGAAGGGCGGGCGTGCGTAGCGCCGATTGGCTCTCCAGTCGCATTACGTCCCCCGCACTGATACGACACGCCGCGTGCTTCCAGAGTACAGTCGCGTTCTGAGTTATATTGTTATCGCTGTTAATTTTTGTTGCTGTTTTTTGTTAAGTTTGATTTTGTTAAGTTCTTTTTTGTTTGTGACTTTAAACAGTGAATATGCCTAGAAGAAATCCTGTTTTTACCCGCGGCTTCGCTCGGAGTTTTAGCTTTCGTAAAAAATATTATTTTAATAAAAAGTATCATATGTTACTTCTAAAACCTCCAAGAATATGTGTACAAAGTTTCATGATGATCGGTTAAGTAGTTTTCACGTGAAAGCGTAACAAACAAACTTACATTCACATTTATAATGTTATATAGTATGATTACTTACTTACCTTTTGTACCTATTGTTGAGAAAATAAAGAAATACAAATTTGACGACTCTGGCACGTGAACAACTTTCAGAAGTTACACTCTATAACATTAACTATTTACTAAAGTTAATATTTGCGTGCGCGATAGTACCCATGCGCGGCTATCCCTTCCACGTTCCGCTCAGCGCTAGACTTACGTGCCGCTAGTTATATTGATTTCAAAGTCGATGGTACAGTGCCAATTTGACATTTGTCAAATGATTGTCAATCAACTGTTATAGACACTGTTATATGTGTGCAATCCACAGCTAACTTGCCTTCTGAATACGAATTAGCGTTATATTAACAATATTATTAAATTTTTATAGCTTAACATTGTCACCGGTTTTAAGTGTTACAAACATGGCAGCTACTCAGTGCTGTGTTCCAAATTGCAACAAGACGCGTAAGTATTTTGATACAAGAAGAGTTTTATAAAGAAACATAACTTAAGTGAAGTAGTAAAAAACATGAATGTTTTAATGAAGGAAGTTTTTGAGCACTAAGAAATTAAAATATATGAATTTAATGTCAAGTACAACCATGATGCCTATAATACATTTTGGCAAGTCAATGTTAGACGCAAATTGTCTGAACAAATATATAAGTTTATTTAAAGTACGAGTATTAGCATACATAAACAGCATAAGTAATTTTTGCACAGCGGTTGTCAAAGGGTTGAGCCGTATGAGGAGAAAAGGCAGAGAAACTTGGCTGCGCATTTCCGTGCAACGTAATACCATATACTAATGTGATTGTCTAATTTTATTGTCGACTAGCGGACCCGCGCAACTTCGTCTGCGTCTCTCAATAGTAATAAATTTCCTCCGTTTTTGAAACATTCTTCATTGGTGCTCCGCTCCTATTGGTCTTAGCGTGATGATATATAGCCTATAGCCTTCCTCGATAAATGGGCTATCTAACACTGAAAGAATTTTTCAAATCGGACCAGTAGTTCCTGAGATTAGCGCGTTCAAACAAACAAACAAACAAACTCTTCAGCTTTATAATATTAGTATAGATTATTTGTTTGTTTGGAGCGCTTATCTCTGTAACTGCTACCCAGGTTTAGACAATAATTTTTAGACTGCATAGATTATTAATTGTGGAAGGTAATTTACTGTGTTACAACACGATACGTCATGTCATGCCTTGGTACAAATTGGGCAGCTCGACCGAAGTGATACTACGACCCAGGGCCTATGGGGTGGTGTGCTTCGCGCACTCACGAAACAACCCAATCAGAAAAAAATATTTATTTTAATTTCGCGCCTTACGCCTCGCATTATAAAACTTAGATACATCAGCTACATGCGCTAAATGTATGTTTGGGGATTTCCCGTGTTTCATTTAGCCTGTCATTTTGACAGCTTGCCAGTGTCAACGTCAACTATCGTCGACTTATGCTTTTGTGCTCGAGCATGAAAAATGAAACGCAACACATACTGCTCTGTGTATGGGTACTGTATTCGGAGGGAGGCGGGATTAAAATTGCGTTTGTCCCACTATACATTGTTGTTTTTTTCTTAATAACCTGTTCGTACCGATTGCATTTATCTATTTATTCATTCAATCGTTCTTTCGAATGCTACTTTCAGGTACTGATAATGTAATACTTCATGTTTTCCCCAAACCTGATAGAGAATCTGAGAGATTTGATTTCTGGTTAGAAGCTATTGATGGGGAATTGTCAGATTTAACCAGAAGTTTTATATTTAAAAATCGTAGAATTTGTCACCTCCACTTTGAAAAGCAATATTTTACCCGAAGCAAGAGATTGGCTTTGAATGCTATTCCGACATTAAATTTATCAGGTGAGTGGAGAATTTACCTGGTTCCCCGGCTATTAGTACGGCGTGCGGTTTTAGTCGGTTCGTGTCCGACATGCCACCGATAGGTGGTTTCCGAGAGGATTTCCGCAGAGAGAAAAAAAAAAAAGTGAGTTAAGAATTGATAGTGTTACGAGCGGGGTATATAATGTTAAATGGCAATACAAATATTTAAGTTGTTAGGTTGTCAATACTGTGTTACATAAAAAAAAAAAAATGTTCCTTCCGCTTTCATCTTTCAATATAAAAATGTCGGTTCATAGTTTCATGTGTGCAATTGTGCTTAATAAATAAATACATAGTACTTGAAATACTCTGCAATTATTTATTCAATTACAACAGCATGGGCGTGCGACTTAGAAGAATAAAAATATATAGTAGTTTAGTTTATTGTAGCGCCATCTAGTGGCTAGTACAGCAAAGAAAATCTGATGAAAAGTACAGTAAGAGACGCTAGATGAGACAAAACGGCTTGGTAAAATAAATGTATGAAAATCGCAATAAATTGAAATCATATTATCAAAATAAAAACTAGAAACGTATTTATGGATTATATATTATTAATTAATTTAAATTTACAAAATAATACATAAACTTATTGACCCATAATTTTAATTATTTACAGGCAACATTGGAATTACTAACGTCATCCTTTGGTTCGACAAGATTTGAAAGTTTTTCATAAAGTTTTCGTTGTAGACTGGGTGTAATTTGTTATTTTGTTTAAACTTTTGAGACCTTGCTTGTATTACGGACCTTCCAATATCTTCTACCACACGATAACCACAGCTCACAACCCGGATTGATATCTTGCATTAATGATTTACAACGGCTATTGAATTTGGACCCTGATAATTAAAACTTACGATTGACCACGGCTATTGAAAACTGTTTTATTTTTCTCCTGTGAATGTTGTAAAGATGCCACGAAGATCGCAATGTGTTTTCGGCTGTCAACAATTCGGTATGTATTACAGATGGGCAGGCAGAACAATAGCAACTGCGATCACAGTTTACATAATTAGCATGGTGATATTTCGCAGCGATAGCATTCACTGTCTCACCACTAGTATGTGAGTATGTATCTATTTTGTTAATAACATCGCGGTCGCCATTGTATTAGTGTGTTAAATTTTATCTAATAAGTACATTTAAAATACAACGTTTACAGCCTTGACTGATTATTTAACATACCTTTTAAAAATTAAGAATTAAATTAACTAAAAAACTAGTAAATTGTAACACAAACTTTGAATTGTAGGTAATATTTCGAAATTTCAAAATTCAAATTTCAAAAAACAGTAATTTAATTCTTGTACTATATCTAATTTCAGATGTTTTACATCGGTTCCCTATACCAGAGACATCTTTAGAACGGTTTCTGCAATGGAAAGACATAGTGGGACCAAAGTTGCAGAACAAGACCAATGATGATATATATACAAATTATCGTATATGTAATCATCATTTTGAAGGACACCACTGTTACCCACATAGTAAACGTCTAGCTAAGACTGCTTATCCTACTCTTAAATTGGGTAAGTCTTTCTACCTAAAACATTATATTATTATAATTATATTATTCCGCCTTATTCCGCCATGAAAGCAATTACACCACTTTTACACCACAGTACAGGTTGTTTACTTATCTCAGTAACATACGTCTGCCCCTGCCACATCGATAACATATTTTATATGTAAAAATACATAACAAAGGGGAATGCCCACTACCCATAGACAGTTTGGCCCTATTTTTTTTTTTTTTTTTTTTTTTTTGTTGACGGAGTGGAAAATCCCTTCGGATCTCCGGCTCCTTGGGGATATAGGAGCCAGGAGTATGTGGTGATTCCACTAAAAACCACTCCGACGGCCAGCCTTAGGCGCTCTGCTCTGGGGAGAACCCGGGCCATGTGATTTCAGGTCCCCCAGATCGACGCGGCACCTAGCTAGGTCCCATCTCAGGGAAAGCCAGTGGCTTCTCCCTCTCAGCCTATCCAGATGTTGCAGCCCGATCACATTTTCAGTGCGATCAGGCTGCCATCCTTTCCTCTACCGCAGCAATTAATCTGCCATCAGAGGTCCCCACTCTCTGGCGGCCCGCGGTCCCGTCGGCTGCTCATTACGTCGTCGACGTCTTCTTCGCTCGGGATCGGCCCTCTCCCGATCCCGTTCAGCGGTCTCTTTCTGGAGCATTACAGCTTTACAGAAAGAGACCACTGAGACAGTTTGGCCCTAGGTGCACACATATAAAAGCATATGGAAACGATAATATACAATTTAAAGAATGAAATGGTTAAGGAATTGGTATTAAAAAAAGTCGGGATTTTTAAGATATAAAATGATTTAAATTTTCAGAAATAACTAGTTTTTTCTCTTATATATCATTTTATGGTTATTCTCACATACAATATCAAGTTATATGTAGTTGTTAGGTATTTTATGATCATACATCCTTTGTGTCATACACAATTAGTACATCATCCAGGAATTGAGCCGGAGGAAAAATATTTGTTTGAAGTCGTGCCCAACCCAAATACCATATTACTGTCATTATATGGGCACAACATCCTACCGTTCGACGGCCAACAATACATTTACAACAATACTTTTTAATTGCACTTCTGCCAGAATCATTGCCACTAATTAAAATATATATAAAATATATTTTTCGACGAGCAGTTAGGACTAAGGTGTATTCCTTCCATAATGCTACTCCTATGGTCATTGCATATTTCTATGTGGTAGCAACCATTAGCTCTTATATGCTCACCATAATAGGAGCGAGCTTGCTTTAATTGGTATGTACCACAAGCAATTAGTACTAAGTCGCTGTAAGTTAAAATAGGAAATTCCCTAACATTTTCGGAGCCTACATTTATAGTTCTAAAGTCTGCCCTAGCGCTATTAAAATAAATAAATAAATAATATTAGCACTAACATAATGAAATCATACATAAGAAAATCGAATAATATAGCTATAAAATAATGGCTGTGTTTGGCAGAAAATAGCGCTAGGAAGCGCTTATGAGCGCTTACTAGCGCTGACACAGTTTTCGGCCAGGACACGTTTGCTAACTTCAGTAGCGCTGACACAAACCGCCATTTTGCTTATTTATTTTGTTTGTTTTAAAAGTAGAATTTATAAGATGTTTTGTGCAATTAGTTTCAAGTAATATTAAAATAAATAATAATGTCAGTCCAAAAAATAGTAAAATTAGTAATTGGGAACACTTAATATTTTGCCAGAAACCAATGAAATACGGATTAACGTAATTTCACTTTTATCTTTTCGGTACTTTTATTTTCTGTTTAAATGTTGCAGACCTGTCAGGATAAATGAATACCCCAATTAATAAACAGAAAATAAGATGGTTTTTTCTAACAAAAGCAAATTGTTGGGCGTTTCATGGCCGAAAATGGGCATTCCCCTTTTAATAGTTATTTTGGATGAATCAATCGACTTCAAGCTGATTTTAGGAAGCTAGCACACATTATATTACTACTTAATTTAATTTATTAGAAAATTAAGTCTATATAAAAATTGTCACATAATCATTACAGCAAGTTCATTTTACGCTTTTTAGTTTTCTTTCTGGAAATTTTCATTGATACTTTTATGAATATTATGTTATTTTATCAGTTAACTTATTTTTTTTTATTCTATTTACCTACTAATTAATAACTTCATCACATATTCTTTAATGTGACATAGGTTCAGCGCATAAGCAATGTTCGCTGATTACTTGTATATTTGTTTAACATAATAATGTTAATATTACAGGTTCATCTGCTTCTTCTAGTCAAGACGTATCCATAGAAATTCAACTGTTACCGCAACCCCTACCTGAATCTATGGATATTCACTCAGTGCCACAAACTTTACCCGGATGTTCAGCCCATGTTTCTAATCTTGACCTGATGAACAAAACTGGTAAGATATTGACACCGGTTTATACTTTAGTGTATTTGCCCAGTGTCTCTGCCTGCGTGTACGTGGATAATCGCGATAAAAAGTAGACAATATCTTTTTTTCAAGAATAAAATCATCTCCATACCAAACATTGGAAATCCGTGCAACGGCTTAGCTGCGAAAGCGTAACAGACAGACATACATAGCTACTTCCAGATTAATATAATATTGAGTATGGATTCTTTTAAATTAAAAAGCTTGTGTATTATTGGTATGACCAAAGATCTGAAACTTATTATTTTAAAATTTATTGTTTTAAATTTAATACGACATAAAAAAAGCCAATTTAATTAAACCGTTCTAATTTTGTCACTAGTTGTAGCCATGCGGGTTAAGCTATGTATGGTTTTTTTTTTTTTTTTTTTTTTTTTTTTTTTTTTTTTTTTTTTTTTTTTGCGTTTATTTGCGATCAGCCCGAAGGCTATGAGCAAATATGCTGTGTGATGCTGTCGTGCGGAGTAGCTTCCCATTGGAAGCATCTACTCATCTGCTGCCCAGAGCTACTGCCGGCCATCTAGCTCTAGGATATGGTGACGTTTTAGTCGTCTCGCATACTCGTCCATGGTGAGTTGGCGAGCGAGTACGTTAGGGTGACGGGTTAATCGCTCTTTGTATTTAGCTGCCAAACTCCGAATTTCCTCCTTGATTGTCTTCATTTCCAGGTGCTCGTGAACTTCGTTATTGGTTATGCACCATGGTGCCTTCGCAATTGATCTTAGAATCTTGTTCTGTTGGCGTTGTAGTATATTTAAGTTGGTATCGCTTGCGCTGCCCCACAGTTGCAGACCATATGTCCAAATGGGCTTTAGGATGACCTTATATATAAGCAGTTTGTTGTCTAAGGAGAGTCTCGAGTTCCTTCCTAGCATCCAGTATAGGCTGTTGTGCTTAAGCTGAAGCTCCTGTTTTTTACATTGAATGTGGTGCCTCCAGGTTAGTCTGCGATCAATGTGTAAGCCAAGATATCTCACATGGTCACTGTGTGGCAGAGCACATTGGCCTAACTTTACAGGTGGACAGTCTCCCTTTCTAAGGGTGAATGTCACCTGTACCGACTTCGCAGCACTAACCTTTATTTTCCATTTTTGGAGCCATTCGCTTAGTTTGTTAAGGCCCTTCTGCAAGTTTTCTGATGCCAGTTTTGGATCTTTGTTACTTGCTAATAAAGCGGTGTCGTCTGCAAATGTAGCTGTAGTTATTCCTGGTGTTAACGGTAGGTCAGCAGTGTATAACGTGTAGAGCATGGGGCTGAGAACAGATCCTTGTGGTACCCCGGCGTTAATCTCTTGGAACCCAGAAGTGGCATCACCTTCCTTCACATAAAATATGCGATCCTCGAGGTAAGATTTAAATATATGAAAGTAAGAGTGGGAAATATTCTGCTTGATCTTACATAATAGGCCTTTGTGCCAGACCTTGTCTGTGACAAATGCCTGCTGGATATCCAAGAACGCTGACGAGCAGTATTCCCTTTGTTCTAAGGACTTTCTTATGGCGTCACATACTCTGTGAGCTTGTTCCACTGTGCCATGGCGTTCTCTAAAGCCGAATTGGTGATCCGGTATCACTTTGCGCTCCAAAAGGCTCGGCATAATTCTGCAGAGTATTGTCTTCTCCAGTACCTTGGATAGAGTAGGCAACAGGCTGATTGGTCGATAGGATGTTTTGTCGTTCATTAGTTTGCCAGCCTTGTAAATCATGATGATTTCTGAGACTTTCCACGCACTCGGAAAGTACCCTATTCGTAACATAGCGTTGAAGATGATGGTGATGAAGACAATAGCCTTTCTCGGTAGTTTCAGCAATATCTCTTTAGTTATTAGGTCGTAACCCGGTGCCCTTTTGCTATCCAGTCGTTTGATCCTTTTTGTGACTTCTGCGGGATACACTGGTCTAGGAGGAAAGTCCATTTGAAGGTCTTGTTTTAGAATGAGATCAACACATTTTTCTGATGAGTTATCCAGTATTACATTCGGTTTGAAGACGCTTGTTAGGTGATCCGCAAACAAGTCCGCTTTGTCCTGGTTTGTTCTGGCCCAGTCATTTTCCTTTTTTATTGGCGTATTTGGTACGTTAGGTCTGTCACAAGAGCGGGTCATTTTCCAAAGCGAGTAATTGCTGGTCTTAGTAGCAGTTAGAGACTCCAACTTTGCCTGCATTGTTAAGTCATTGGAATTCTTTATAGCTTCCTTCAACTCTACAGTGGCTTTATTAAGGGCGGCCTTGTCTTGCGGATGACGGCCCAGCTGCCAAGCTCTACGAAGCCTGCGTTTCTCCTGGATCATTATCTTTATTTCCAATGGTACGTTTTTGGACTGGGTCCTATTTTGAGTAGTGGGCGTGCTTTTCCACGCTGCAACCTGTATGAGATTAGTGAATTTTACTACTGCTGTTTCTATTTCCTCCTCTCCCTTGAGCCTGATACTTAGATCAAGGTTTTCCTCAATGTGTTCCCTGAATGAGGGCCAATCAGTATGGCGATTGTGTAATATTGTGGGTCTCTCGATTTCAATTATAGTTGAGCTGACAGTTAGTAAGACTGGGGTGTGATCAGATGACCCATCAATACATGACTCAATCTTCATGTATTGTTTTGAGAGTCCTTTTGTTAGGAAGAAGTCAAGTATGTCCGGGATTCGATTGTGATCGGATGGCCAGTTGGTAGGTTCTAATGGGGCAATTGTATTTAAGTGATTTATATCAACGCTCAACTTTAGTTGTCTTCCCCTTGTTGTAGTTAGTCTTGAACCCCAGTGGACATGTTTTGAGTTCCAATCGCCTCCTGCTATGAAGCGATTGCCAAGACTTGAGAAGAAGTGAGAAAACAGGTCGGAGTCTATTCGATGTTTTGGTGGACAGTATACAGCTGAGACATTAAAGTATCCACATCTGTCTTGTATTGCGACTATAGTGGCTTGTATTTGCTCGATTTTATATTCAGGCAGCAAATGGTGCTTTATTTTGTCCCGAATTATTATAGCTGAGCCTGCATGACCTGTTCCGTCAGGGTGGTTTGTAGTGTATGTCTGGAACCCTTTGATTTTGGCATTGGTTTTGTCTGTGCAGTGTGCTTCGGATATTAGGACTATGTCTAGCTTGTGCTCGGCCATTAGCATCTCGAGCTCATCTTTGTTAGGTGAGAGTCCATTTATGTTCCAAGTAGCTAGTCTTAGCCCAAGGCCTTTTAACATTGTAGTTTGGTTATAAGCGTAGTCATGAAGCTCATTAGAGTACTCATTTGTTGTAAGATTAAGTCGAATTTCTCATTTTGTTTAGTGAGGATAGTTTCTAATACTGTTAGGTTTTGGTTCACATATGGTATGGCATTTTCTGTGATCACTTTGTCTGGCATACTTCTAGCAGCTTTGGCGTAAGAGAATGGTTCTTTGTGTTGTGGTGACTTTCTTTCTCAATGGATGAATTTTGTTGCGTAGTGATTCTTGGAGGGTTTATATCTCGAATCGTGTAGTCTGCAATAGAACGTCTATCAGCTCTTCGATGACCGTATTTGTTCATTTTTCTGGCTAGTATTTCTCTGTACACCTCACAGCAATTGTAGTTTGCAGGCTGGGAGCCTTGGCATAGTGCACATTGGGCTGGTCCTATCGCGCTTTGGACAGTCTGACGTTTTATGTGCCTGCGCGCATTTCACGCAGCGGAAAGGTCTCATGCAGTAATTTTTTGTGTGCCCATATTGCTGACACCGTTGGCACTGTACGATTGAATTTTTCTTCTTGGGATCCTCTATGGTTACCGATTGATGGTAGATGTATTTGATTTCTTTAGCTGCCTTGTTGTTCTGGCTAGGTAGGAGATTTACAAAGAATGTTGAGGTAGGTCTCTTCTCAGGACCATACCTGGAGTTAATAATTTCCCCGATAACAGTGTTACCAGTTTTCTCAATTTCTTCCTTTATCTCACTTTTAGGTGTTGTGTGATGAAGATTCCGAATGACAATACGGCAGAGTCGTTTTTCCTTTTTATTGAATGTGTGACCAATTAAGCCACTTTCACGGAATTTAGTGATGATTCTTTTGTAGGCCTCCGTATCTATGGTGTTGATTCTCAGTTGGTTTCTGTTTGTAGTCCGATATGTGAATGAACTTTTATCTGCAACAGTTTCCACGAGTTCAGTTAATTTATTGACGTCTTCTATACCATACAATATTATGGGTGGAGACTTGCTAGGTTTTTTTTCCACTGGTTTCTTGGTTAGAGCGGGTTCTTCTGTTAGGTCAATTGGTAATTGGCTGAACATGTTGCTAGTGGTTATATTTTCTAGAGAATCGTTGACTTTTTTCCGTTTCGGATTTCTAGTGCCTGGTACTCTCTGCCAAGATGGGGGGCATACAGTGTCTTGCTGGCTTGGTGCATTTTGCGTGGCCATGTCTCTCGGTGGTTCTACCACTGTTTGTAGACTTTCTAGGGGTTTGCCTCCCAGGAAATTGCTTCTAGGCCTGGTGATAAGCAGGCTGCGGTGGAAGATCTGCTGTGTAAGCTTTTTGCTGCCAGTAGCATTCACTGTAATGGAAGCCTGGTCGCCTACTTCCATCAAGTCTTCGGTAGCTAATTTCACACTCTCCGGCCCGGGTACCAGAGAGCGCCGGGGGTTAGCCGGATCGCATGACATACTATCATTCTCATTATTTGACATTTCCATATAAAAAGGGGGTGGGAGAAAACACACATACTACTTTCCCAAGGCAATATTGCAGCTATTTTAGGGGGCATTTAACTTCCCTAGGTCTGCTGTGGCCTTAACAGGTTAATTGACCGCCGCCTGTGACTCGGCGTTGTTGCTCGTTTAGCACCACCCGGGGGACACGTGTAGGGTGGCCTAGGGCAGGTGGTAGTTCCTACGGACGCAAGCAACTTCGCCCCCCAAAATGTATGGAATAGTGTTCCGTACAATAGGTTCAATGTTTTAGTATCAATTTCATAATTGAATTAATAGGAGTTCTCAGTCTCTTCAACACCGAAAAATATCAAATTCTTTCTTCTTATAATGTTTTCAAATATCTGAATTTTTTTACCTTGATCTTCGGTCATTATTTCCAGTTGTTGTTGTGTGAAGTCTAACATAAGGAATTTCTCATCTATACTCTTATTTATGCTCTTTGGGATATGTTCTTTTATTTCTTTCAGTGAGGTGTGTAAGGTGCCATATACCGGTAACTTTTATTTTTGATTGAAACTGAAACTGACTGATTTATTGCTTAACGTACTTATTTTTCATTATTTATTAAATACAATGGACTTAAATTATTGCAATTATTTAAATATATTTAAATCCAATATTGTCATGTGAGTGATTTGTGTTTTGTCTTTGTGTAATTTATACATAGTATGTATGTTTTTAGTAAAATGTAAGTATATCTTTATTTTTAGGTATATTGGAAGAAACATCACAAAAAAGTCCATCAGCTCCATCACACATAGAAGTTCGTGGTACAGAAGACATTGACAGATCCCATTTAGGTAAGAATTTTAACCAAAAGGAAAGACACATTATATTTTCATCATCATCAACAGACTTTATAGTCCACTGCAGGACACTTATGTCCTTAAAATCCTATACCAGCCTCAAACCTTATAAAAAGGCTGGTATAGGACTTTTTTTCAAATTTTGCTTTTCTTTGCAGTGCTGTTGCCTTGTAGAGTTTGCTCCCTTAGTCGGCTCTGACGACACCAACAGAATGATGTGGTGATGGGTGGTGACACTCCATATTCTTAACTCGCCACCACACGGACAAACCTAAATTATTACGTCAGCATTACCAAATAACTACACAATAAAAGTACCACCCCTCAGGGAAGATAAAGAATATAGTTTAATATGGTTCATCAAGATGTTAGCCGCATTGAAGTTGTTTTTTTTTTTTACAGACACACATGCAATAATTGAAATGTCCAGAGGGTGTGCTACAGAATCAGATTTAGATATTGGAAATGTCAGATGCAAAACATTTACTGAGACTGTCAGCGAAGATAATAAGCATAAATTGACAGTGCTCATGCACAACGAAACAGATGGCACACCAGCTGAAAACCCTCAACCTAGAAAGCAAGGTAAATATTTCCAAATCAATGAATTATCCTATTGTAGTCCACTGTTAAACAAATAGGTTTCTTTGATGCTTTGAGAAGAATTAATAATGAAGTGATCATATTTTTTTTTCAGTACTTCAATTGCGTTTAATAGGTGATGATGGTTTTTGTGATGAACCAATATATGAAGTTCTGACGGATGATGAAACTGAAAAGGCAGTGGACAAGAAACAAACAGCGACACAGACTGCTGGTGAGTTTTGAGAATAAGTCATTAAATTGATATTGGAGGACTTGGTTCATTCTAATAAATTCCAGCAGCAATAAATGCAATATTTTTGAAAAGACACTAAGAACTAGCATTATAATTTATAAAATGAAATTTTCAATTATTTCAATTCTGAGAAAATATCGTTTTTATCTTAGCATATTATTTTTCTTTTGTTTTTAACATATCTATGTATGTGTATAATTATTTATGTGTGTGTTGTATGTATGTATGTACATGTATCATATGAATACATGATTCATATGAGTGTTCGTATGTGTATGTGCTGATACATGTATGTACATTAGTGATGTGCCGGATCGTTAACAAAGTATATCCGCGGATACCCGCGGATCCGCGGAGCCGAATACGGATATTTGGTGTCAAGATCCGCGGATACGGATCTTAAGTTTCTTACTCAATCGGAGCCCGTGACCTTGATAGTTGTCGCCACTTGACGCTTTGCCGTTGATATTTAAATATTTCATTATTTTAATAAGCTAATACAAAGATGTTTGATTGATCTCATTATAAAGATAGCTCTTTCAGTACCTACGACCTGCCTAGTATTTAGTGTAGTACGATAAATGATTGCAATACAAAGGTGCCAAATATTTGTTTTAAGAAATAAAAAGTAATCTGAACAGAATTCAATAGCTTTTCATAGCTACCTAATAACCATTATTCAGGGTTATTTTAAATTTACTGAAAACCTCTGAAGTGCATATTAGTAACATTATAAACAACAACTTTTCTTCTGGACTAACACCAAATTGTTTCTCCATACAAACTAACAACATTTGATTGGTCATTTTAATGGAGGACCAATTTTTTTTCATTAGACGTTGGCCAGAAAAAAAGTTGCTGTTTATAGGGTTACAAACACATACCTAAGAGTTTTACAGTGAATACAAAATCACCTATATAGAATTTCATCTATGTAATATGTATTGAAAGATCCGCCAAAAAAGTCACGGATACGGATACGGTTACGGATCTCTCTTCTCCCTTGGATATCCGCGGATACGGATATCCGGCACATCACTAATGTACATCTATGTGTGTATTATTTATGTGTTATGGATACCCCTGCTTAAGCTTACACTTCCCTCTATTTAAATCGACAGTTCTCCTTATACCTACCTATATGTAGAGAGTACCTATATGGAGAGACTTGTATAAAGATTATTTAATTGTCATAAAACAACATTGTTAAATGTCTGTTAGTCTTTCTAAGAGTAATTAAATAAATATTTTCAGGCCGAATACAAATAAAACTTTTGCACCAATGTTTCAAAAATATTTTCTTTTGTTACGAGGAAGGGTTCCACGCCTTGAACCTCCCCCTCAAAATGAGGATGAATTGCTCACCACCAGTTTTCTGCGAGTCAGGCCGATGCATGGCTCTCCCACAGTTTGGCTAGTTCAGCAAAACCGCCCGACATCTTTCCAATGTAGGTACAGTCAGTTCAGAGTTAATCAGTCTTAACTTTCTTATTTTTATTATTTTAGCACAAAATTTACCTGCAAAGGATGTTCAATATGCGCCACCAGTTATAGCAGCCGAGGAACAGAAAACAGAACAGGAAACAGAATCAACATGTAGAAAGGTTAAAAATAAGGAATACTGGAAGTTAAAGCTGAAGCATATCCTCCACAACACGCAGTTCTGTGGAATCTGTTTGGAGGCTGACGTCGACATGAACGCCCTCACCGATGAGTTTGAGATCACTGATGATGAAAGGACTTACAGGAGATCTCTAAGAGATATTGTAGATAAGCTTTTTAGAGAGGTGAGTGAATTAAAAATTCTATGTAAATTCTAACTTTCAACAAATACAAGTTAAAATGTTAAACTTGTTTTATAAATACTCTGGATGTAAATCCTTAACAGTTTCAATATTATTTTGAAACCAGTTTTCTAGAGACTGGTGTTGGCTGGTGTTAAGTTGAAAACATACAGGAGGCCGCATCAATGCGAGTGTAGTATTAACAGACCATGCATAATTTAAGTACTGATTGCAACAAGTGTTATGGACTCGATACCAATGTGGAATATCGAGGTTATCAAAAGGGTAACAATCATCTGTTAATACCACACTTACATAATGTTGTGAATATTTTATGTTACTTCAAAATAGAAATATAGACACATAACATTTAGTTTAGAGGTTAAAAAATATTTCATATTATATGTTGTTATAGAAAGACCTTTTGTTTATTTTTTTCAGTGTGGATATTGCCCAGCTAACTCACAAATATGCAACAATTGTACAAAGAAACTAATTCAGTCCTATATATTTATACACAATGCTGAAGAGACATCGAAAATGCTGGATCGTCACTTGGATGAACTGTATACTAAAACTTGCTATGTACGAAACAATTCTCTGAAAGATGCCAACAATGCACATTCAAGGATATACAACGTTGTTATTGCATTAGACAATAAAGAGATTGCCGAGAACTTTGAAAGTAATCAAATTAAAATAGAACTACCAGAAAAGCCAGAGTCACACCAAAATCAAAATGAACGGATACGTGACAAAAGAAAGCTAAGGTGTGTGAGTTGTAATGTGGTTCTACCCTCATACAGAGCTTGGAAGATACACGAGAGAACAGCTCACAAACAGAGTCACAGATGTAGAATATGTCTCCAGAGCTACAAAACACGACGCGCCTTGACTACACATTATAAGACGCATTTGAAATCGCGCTGTGCGTTGTGTCACAGAACTGTGCAGGATGGTGAACTGTTGCAACATTTGAAAACGCGCCACAAACACTCGATACACTTATGTACGACATGTAATGTCGCATTTTACTCCGCCAAGGCTCTAGGAAGACATATAAAGGAATGTCATCGTGGAGAGGATTCTAAATGTGTGACGTGTCTGCAGAGTTTGACGCAAGTAGAGTTGGAGCGGCACCAGTGCAGGTTCAAGTGTCCGGAGTGTGAGGAGGCGCCTTGTATCCATCACCGGCATCTGATGTGGTACAGAGAGCAGATGGCGAACCTCGCCCCCAGAGCCAAGTGTGCGGAGTGTCGCTACGTGTGTACAAGTAAGGACGCGCTCGTCGCGCACGTCAACAGACAACATTTGAGTCTCCAGCCTCACCGCTGTGCCAGCTGCGGACACGAGTTCTATTGTGAGTCTCATTTAAATAAACATATTTGTACACCTGAGAAAGTCAACGAAGACCTCCACATTTGTCAATATTGTGATAAAGCATTTAGCAGTTTGTATATTTGCAAAAGACATGAAAAAGGGTGTGCAGGCGTTCAAAGGAAGTATCAGTGCGATGATTGTCCAGCTAATTTTGATTCCTCAAAAGATCACATGAAACATAGAAAACTTAAGCACGGTAAAGAGGTCTTCACATGCAGTTTGTGTGACAGAGTATTTTTAAACGACCTGAAGAGGACAAGACATGAGCGGCAAGCCCACGGCCAACAGCAAGAAAGGGCACGCTTTGTTTGTGTGGTTTGCCAAACTGAGTTCTCGTCGAAGGCGGCCTTGGAACTACACATGAGATACCATGAACCTGAAGCAAAGTGTCAGCTTGATACTTTGGGACAGTTCAAGAGTCATAAACACAGACACAGACGTGCGTTGACGGTGTGCGAAGTTTGTGGCGTAGTGATAAGTAGGATTCTGTTCAAAAAACACATGATTGCCCATTCTATGGCGACAGTGTCGTGTAAAACGTGCGGCAAATCCTTCCAGAACTTGACTCTACTGAGATATCATCAGAGTGTGCACGTGAAGAGCGTGCCGTGTCCTAGATGTAAGAAAGTGATCAGTTCTGCAAAGTTATGGAGACACTTCAGGAATCACCTCATTCGAGACTCTCTAGATTTCAAAGTTACTGCAATACATGGTCTATGACATTGAATTCTGCTGTTTTTTTTTTAAATTTTAAATGATGTTATCCTCTATAGTACAGCCAATGTGCACAATCATAGATTATGCCGCAAACTGTATATCATCAGTTTTCTTCCCTTTTCACACTTTTATTTTGAACCAGTGCAACATGTAACATTGTAAAAGGTTTTGGCTGATTCTTTATATTGCCGGCTGTCTGCCTGACGCTAACTCTCCTTCGGGATGGTTTTAAGGAGTATGGAAGAAGGCAATTGGGGTAGAAATATCTCTATTACTTGGATAATTGGCACTCTGTCACTGTGCATCTTAAGATTTTTTTGCCTCCTACAAACAACTTGTAGACGAAATAGTTGCTTCTCCTTTGCCGGACTGATACGACCTTCAAACCTTCACGAAAATTATATTTTTGGGGAATTTTTTTCAGTATTGGTCATTATGATTTAATTTTAAAACATTGTGAACATTTTAGATACATTATTCCTTTTAAACATTTAGAGAAAAAATTTGAATGAAAGTTATATAAATCAAAAATCTAAGCAATAAAAAAAACTAATTTAATTGTAATTTCTGAAATGGCTTAATCAATTTTGCAGTCAAAAACTTTTGTAAATCCTTTTTTAGAACTAAAATAAAAGTAATACTGAAGTAGTTATGACTTGAATGTATTTTATATCTATCTACTAATAGACATTCAATGCAGTTATAAATAAATAATGAATTAAAGCAATATCATCATTTGACGGGCCTGTTGGTCGAGTGGTTAGTGCCCCTGACTGCTAAGCCGGAGGTCGTGGGTTTGATTCCCACCCAGGACAAATATTGTGTGATGAGCATGATCATTTGTTCTGTGTCTGGGTGTAATTTATCTATAATATGTATGTATTTAAAAAAATATATAAGTATATTTATCAGCAGTCTGGTCACCATAGCACAGGCTCTGCCTAGTTTGGGATCAGACAGCCGTGTGTGAAATGTGTGAGGAGTATATTATTATTATTTCTTTATTTCATTCTTTATACATATAAATTACATTTTTAAATATAGTTATATACAAAAACAAAAAAAAATACATTTAAAAATATAAAAAATAGTATCCCATCGGTATCGGGTACAGAGACCAAGATATCGGTGGTTAGGACTCCAGAGACAGAAACTTCCTCACAATACGTGCCGTATCGAGAAGAACTGCTTTCTGCATCAGACCCTTAATCCAACTGCCTAACGCGAGCCTCTGAAGATGTTGGTCGAGGCTCTTAGCAACCAATCCATGGGCCGATATGACTATCGGTACAACGATTGCCGAATCAACATCCCACATGTCGACAATCTCGTGGGCTAAATCCAAATACTTCACTTTCAAGAGATTGTCGTCATGTGGAATGGTAATGTCAACAATCATTGCTCGGCGCTCCAATCGGTCTATTACCACTATATCAGGTTTATTGGCAACAATAGTCCTGTCAGTGATAATAGTGCGATCCCAGTACAACGTTGCACGACCATTTTCAAGAACTGGGTCGGGCACATATTTGTAGTACGGTAACTCTACAGTCACAAGGTTATACTTAAGAGCAAGTTGCTGATGGACAATCCTGGCCACTTGGTTATGTCTATGCAAGTACTCGCCCTTGGCAAGACGAGAACAACCGGAAATTATATGTCTAAGGCTCACCAGGACAATGCCCGACAAATGTCTATTGTGCCGTCCTTCAGGATATACTTCCGATAATTATTCGTCATAACAACTTCATCAGTAATTGCAAAGACAAAACCTTCAGTTTCCCCGAAGAGGTCACCGAATCGAAGCCAGAATACAGACGCTAGTTGATCCACCTCAGGCCTGTTCAAGGCTCGATAAAAACGTCCATGCAGCTCTTTGCCCTTCCATATCTCCTTACGATCAGTAATGTTGAGTACTGCAAATTTGCGCCAGTTCTCTTTACCTAGACCAAGTGGAGTGAGTCCGTTATCAACTGCTACTACACCCTATGGATATCCACATTAACAGAAAGGAAGTAATTCCTAAGGTTACATATCTCACGATTGTGGAGGGTCTTGGCATTTAGAAAACCACGACCACCACATTTTCGTGGAATACATAACCTCATCACCGATGAACGTGGATGATGCATTCGGTATGCAGTAAGCAATGTACGAACTCTTCTATCCAGGGTATCTAGTTCAGTCTGAGTCCATCTAAGTATGCCAAAAGAGTAAGTTAGAACTGGTATGACCCAATCATTATAGGCTCTCACCTTATTACCACCTGATAAAAGACTATTTAATACTTTTTTCAGGCGGCTAAAGAAGCGTTCCTGTAACGATTGTTTCATAATCAACTCATTTACACCTAACGCCTGTGACATACCCAGATATTTGTAAGTTTCGTTAGATGAGAGACATGTTCCAACCTATCAGACTCCACAACCCTGCCTCTTTTTACATGCATGATTGCACACTTATCTACACCAAATTCCATCCTGATGACATTTACTAAAGGTTTTAGTTATTTCTAGTAAATTCATCAGTATGGAACTACTGGAAGCAAACAGTTTTAAATCATCCATGTAAAGGAGGTGGGATATAACCTTACCATCTCTCTGCAAACGATAGCCTAGTCCTGAACCCTCCAACATAGTGCTGAGAGGATTTAAAGCTAAGAAAAACCACAAGGGACTTAAACTGTCACCCTGAAATATACCCCGCTTAATCATTATATATTCGCCATCGCCTTGAGATTGCCGACATCCTGGATAGCAAAGAACCGTTCTCCATTGCCGCATACATGTCTCCATAAAAGTGCATAGAGTTGTATCAATCTTGTACAACTCCATCACCCTCAAGAGCCACGTATGCGGTACAGAGTCGTAAGCCTTTTTATAATCTATCCAACATGTCGACAGATCTTTTCGGTTACGGCGAACTTGTTGGTTATTATTATTATTATTAACAGCATTTACTCGTAATAGTCCACTGCTGGACATAATCCTTCTTAAAAAGTATGAGAATGTTAGGAAGAAAATTAATTTAATAACTAGCAACACTAAATTCCCTTGATTATTGATTTCAAAGTCGATGGTACAGTGCCAATTTGACATTTGTCAAATGATTGTCAATCCACTATTATATTATCTGTGTGTGCAATCCACAGCTAGCTTGCCTTCCGAATACGAATTGGCGTTATATTAACAATATTATTAAATTTTTATAGCTTAACATTGTCACCGGTTTTAAGTGTTACAAACATGGCAGCTACTCAGTGCTGTGTTCCAAATTGCAACAAGACACGTAAGTATTTTGATAAAAGAAGAGTATTATAAAGAAACATAACTTAAGTGAAGTAGTAAAAAACATGAATGTTTTAATAAAGGAAGTTTTTGAGCACTAAAAAATTAAAATATATGAATTTAATGTCAAGTACAACCTTGATGCTTATAAAACATTTTGGCAAGTCAATGTTAGACGCAATTGTCTGAACAAATATATAAGTTTATTTAAATTACGAGTATTATCATACATAAACAGCATAAGTAATTTTTGCACAGCGGTTGTCAAAGGGTTGAGCCGTATGAGGAGAATAGGCAGACAAACTTGGCTGCGCATTTCCGTACAACGTAATACCATATATTAATGTGATTGTCTAATTTTTTTGTCGATTATTTGTTTGTTTGGAGCGCTTATCCCTGTAACTGCTACCCAGGTTGTAACCGCTTTTCCTCTCAGGCGGACTACTCACCGGCTGACCCAGTGGAGAGATTTATGAGATAACCTCAGGGCGCCTTTTTAAGAGAACAGATGTGTGTGCGTGTGGGATACCTATGGGACCCCTTAGAGAAAAACAACTTACACCTCAGTCATACATACATGTATATTAAAAAAAAAACAAAATTAAGGTTACAATAAAAAAAAACAGAGGTTATAAGAAAAACCGCAGCGGAGCGCGTCAGAGCCGAGCTGATGGTGCTCGGTGCCTCCTCGTCTTCACTCCAGGAGGTTACTACCTCTTCCGCCCGAGTCGGCTATTAATATTAGATAGTGATAAAAGTTCAACAATTTGTATTTATAAGTTTATAAGTAAGTACGTAACCCTTGGGTACGGCTGTCCGCTTGCGTCATGAGCCGCGCAATCACCAGCTTGCCAGAGGGTATCGAGAAACTTGAGTCTGAACCAGAAGGCCACAAACGAGCAAGCACGCCGTCTGAGACTGACCGTCTTGACCCCGAAATCTGGGACCCTACGAATGGATTAGCACTCATATAATTAATCAGGTTCCAGAAACAAATAGGTTTAAAAGAAAATTAAGACCATACTCACCACTCTAGTGGGTACTTTTGAACAGATAATATATTACCAAAATCAAATCACACAACAATCAAAACACTATTTAAGATAGGAAGACACGAGATAGCGGAGTGTCTCCCGTGGCTGAAAGCCGGACTTATATATCTTCGGTTCCCGAAGCTTCCAGAAATTATCCCCTACTCAACATTTTACTTTGACATTTAAATTACCGACGAGGTGAACCCGACCAAGATCAAAAGTAACTCGCTTCCTACCATAACAGAACACTCTCAATACCTGTACAATTTGTCACGATAAATCAATACTGACTTATCCACAAACAAAAACGCCATCTAGTGGTCCGACAGTGAACGCAGAAGATCAATACTGTAGTTATAAACTACTTTAGATAAATCAACAACAATACAACGCGGCCAATAGGTGTCGCTTTTAACAAGACCATACGCATTACAAATATATTAAAAAATAACTGTTACACCACCCCCTCCCTCAAAGTATTCCCTGCGTAGTGTGCGCAGGGAATATCCTCAACAGGGCCAAAATCCATATAAGTGGTTTTACGAACCCCGTGGTTTAGGAAAACATTCTATACTATGACTCGCGACTACAAAGCCTGTGGTTATCCATATAGGACACCACATGATATAACCTGAAGCCATCCGTATGGGACCCAACTCGACAGTAGGCCGGAAGCAATCCT